CCCCCCCCACAGTCTTTCTTTACATGGTTGTTTGGTTCAGTGGGAAGTAGTTAAGTTTGATTGAACTAGGAATCGTAAATTGACCTACACATATGAGGACTATTGTAGTTTTTGAACTGAAATACGTGTAATGTTAATAAATTGAATACCTAGAATTGCCTAATGAAGGCACGGAACCAAACACCCCTACATTTCTAGCGTTTAATTGCGGTTATTGCTATAGGAAGTAGTAAACATTTATGCTAAGGAACTACCGGCAATGAAGTATGCTGCAAACACTGGAAAGCAATCATCGTTCCTTGATAAATGCGTGTCAAGTGGGTATGTTTGTTGAAGTTCACATATTCCTTTAAGGACATCAATCTCATGAATATCACACTTGTCAATCTGTTAACCGTATATAGAGTTATGTCTGTGTTGCAAACATTGAGTTTATGATCTGGATGCCATCACCTTACCAAGATGCTTACATTTGAGGGTTGGACAATGGTTGGTATTACAGGAAGTACTACACATTAATTTTGAGATTCAAGAATGGCCTACACCGTGGAGAGGTATGTTTTGGTGTAGTCTCATTGTCATACATTACTCTAGTAGGTTGGTTCTGTTGAAACATCCTAATGTTTTTAAAATTGTATCCTCTTATAGTCTTAGAGAACATCCCTTGACATATAATGCATATATAGTGCAGAAAGATTCAACTTTACTGGATGCTAATTAGTATGCATACCAATAAATGGAAGATGTAAGAGGTTCAGTATTCAACCTAAGAAAAGTTTAAATTTTCTACAACAACAACAATAACAACAACTCAATAGGATCCCACGAACATACAGTCCGGGGAGGGCGTGTGTACGCAGACTTTACCCTTAAAGTAGAGAGAGGCTGTTTCCAAAAAAACTTCAAATTTTCTAATGTAACATTTTTTGTCTGGTTATACATCACTTTGATTTTGCTCATAATTGGACAGGCTGTTGCAGCAACTACCTATCAAATAATCTCTGCTGACACACTGTATACCGAGATTCCTCTTGCAGCTGTTAGATCCCAATACCAACATAAGGTTTGATGTTAATTTAACCAAAATTAGTTTTAACAAAAATTTCACCTCTACCTGTATTTGATTCTTTCCATTAAGATATGCATTCACTGTGAATGTTTTTTTTGTGTCCATTCCACAGTCGCATTTATCGCATTTATTAAACAACAACACATACAGAGTATTACTCTTTTATTTCATATGGTCATGAATAGCATCTTAGATTTATCTTCCGCGTCTGGCAGTAATTGACTAGATCAGGTGTTCTTGTAGGGGATAGGCCACTTATTATACATGGAACTGAAAAGGAGATTGCAGAATGTGGGCATAAGGACAGTGCTTTGTTGGGGAGATAAGGAGTCTGAAGGATTTTGGCTTAAACAGGTATACTTAAATAGTGGTAATATATGTGATTGAAGCAATTTATTCATCTACTGCTAGTGGCTTGAGTTCATCATATATTCCTCTGTGGTTTATCGAACGAGTAAAACAGTCATAACACACAAACTTTGTTTCATATAGAAGTACAATGCAACAACAACAACAACAACACAACCTAGTTGAGTCCCAGTACAGTAGGGTCTGGGGAGGGTGTGTGTACGCAGACCTTGCCCCTACTCGAAAGTAGGGAGGCTGTTTCCAATAGACCCCCGGCTCAACCTGCACAAAAAAATATGGTAGGGAACACAGTATAACACGGATAAAGCACCAAGTACAATGAAATGAAAGTCCTGCAAGCAATAGCAAAAGATTCCAATCAAACACAACACACTACAAAAAACCTCTGCAGCACCGAGCTCCTATCTAGCTACTCTAATCCTAGTTCTCCAAAGGTTCCTATCTAAAGCCATATCCTCAGTCAGGTTGAGAAGTCCTAAATCCTGCCTAATCACCTCTTTCCAATTCTTCCTAGGTCTACCCCTTCCCCTACTTCCCCCGATAACCGTAATCCTCTCGCATATAGAAGTAGAATGCTTTTTGCTTTAATTCTCAACATCTTTCATTCATCAGTTCCTACGGCTATGCTTGCACTCTGGAAAATGGCAGGGAAAAGACAAATTTATAGGAAAATGCTACTTTCAATGTTAGGTTGCTCGTTGAAAAAAATACAAAGGAAAATTAGATTTGATTAGTCTCTATATAATTAAAATTAATGGAAACAACCTCTCTGTATTTATTGGGGTGAGATTGCATACATCTTGACCCAGACACCAAGAGAATTGAGACTATACTAGGTTTGTTGTTGTTTATTTAATTGAAGTGTATAGATAGATGAGTTTATAGTTCAGACATATCTAAAATTGATGTAATGAGTTTGGATTAATTTTATTTTCACCCAAATTTTCTTTCCATAAAAAAATTCCTCTATTTACTTTTAATTTTCTTTCCCTAACATTAACCGAGTTCCAGACGTACCCTGAACATACATGTCAATATATGCAGGGGTTCATAGTAATTGGTCATGTAGATGCGAGAGGCAAAGCTCGCAGGCTTCCTATAAACCCCAATGTTCGCAGAGTGTTGTGTTTTCCTGGTGGCTCATCTCTCATGGTTTCTTATCTTAACAAGGAAAGTCCAACACATTCACCAAAGCATCTTGCTCTAGATCTGCCCGAGAAGAATTGTCCTTCTTTGATATCTCAGAAACAAGATAAGCATGTAGATACGTACTGCTCTTCCAAGGAAGTGATAAATCAAAATATCAAAACAGACATCTCTCATCATTATGGTACGTGAACAAGTATAAGTTCTTCTCTACCTGTACTTCATTGTAAAGGATATTTAAGATTACATATTTATCCAAAGGTTATTAACTGATATATTAAGGATTTAATTTTTGTGATTATGTTTCTTGTTGTGGAGAAGTATCTTGCCAACCTTAACCCTTAAGATTAGTCTACTTAGTTCCCCTGTGTGACACAAATTCTTGTGTTATCTGCTGTATTTGTGAGTCATTCTCGGTAAGCCCCTAAAACAAACACAAATTTCAAGACTAGTCTGCACCAAAGAGTCATCATTGCATGAAATATTAAGGGTTAGCTTTGCAGGATATGCATCCACAGGATAACGATAATTGCAAATATTAAATCCTTATTCTATCATTAACACCAGTTTCATCCTCCTACAATCTATTGAGTGCTTTCTATTAAATGACTGAATTGTTTCTTTTAGAGTTATGTCTACGTATCAACACTACTTTACTAACATGTTCACTTTTGAATTTAAATTGTCAAGATGCAGACATGATGGAAACTGTAAATGACAGCTATGACGAAGGAGCAAATGAATCTGAACATGAGAATACTCTGAAACAATGGTCATGCTCACCACCAAGAACAAATAAAAGGACATGGGAAGCCTCATTTACCTCTTTGAACTCAAAAAAAGTGAAGGGGAGCTATCAGACTGATTGCCACTTACATTCTAACAGCTTTCTTTTAGAAAGCAACGTCAATGCAACCAGGCATAAAAACACGGATTCCTTGGCAGTGTCTCAGAATGCATTTAAAGTGAAAGATTGTCCTAAAGATCCGCTGAAGAGCAGTTCCAAGCATTATTATGAAGTGACATCCAAAAGTTATAGCAGCCAAGGAATTCTTCCATTGGAAAAAAAATACCAAGTTATACTGATGAATATAGCTGATGACAATAAGAAAGCTTATCTAACTCAGGTATTCTTCATCTTCTCCATTTTAAGATTCAAATAATATTTTTGCATCATGTTACCCCTTCCCCTCAAATTACGTATGCGTATAAATTTAGCAGGTGACTGGTATATACCAAATTATTTGCTCTGAAGTGGTGGTGTTTGGTTTATTTTTAAAGGAACATTTTTCAGTGCTAGGAAAATTACCAAAAACATGCATAATATGGAGGGAAATTGTTACCGAAAAATAAGGGTCAACACAAAAAATTTACATGGAACCCCCTCCCAGCTATGGGAAAGAACTACGATACGCTCGGAATTAACTTTCCACTATAATATCAATTGCAATACAACAAGACAACAAGATTACAACAATTGATATTTTCCACTAAGAATTTCCTCAACACAAGAAATTCTCACATCTCTACTCAACTCTCTCTTGGCTCTTTTTCTCTTGCAGCCTCTCAAAAAAGAGAGCAAAGGCTTAAATAACCATTAAACTATTATAGAGAAGAGCTCCAACACTAGGAAGGAGAAGTCTACAAAGTTAGACTAATCATTCTTTCCCCAATAACACTTTCAGCAATCACACAAAGCCACTCACAAAAGTCACAAGACCAACTCACGCACATCACATACTTTTTTCCCTTCTACTTCTTCTCCCATTTGTGTGCACACATCACACACATGCATCTTTATTTATTTATTTATTTTAGTTTCCTTTCTCACATTGAAAATAAAATAAACTCCAACTTAATTATTACGGAGTATTTGGTAATTGGGGAGATGCCCAACATTCAATTAATATGGAGTATTATTGATGTTGTTTCTCAGGTGTTTATTTATGAGTATTAATCAATTATGCTTATGCAGATTATTGAAAACCTTGGTGGAGATGTAACTTCTGATGGAAGTAGATGTACACATGTCGTAACGGGGAAAGTGAGGAAAACATTGAATTTCTGCAAAGCTTTATGTTCAGGGTCAGTATCTCCGACAAACTTTTGCTTCATTATATCTCAGACAAAGTGCCCTTCAATTAAAAAGTGAAACTAGTAGTATACTCTGTATATATTATTTTCTGTAGATTTTGCTTCTTGAGTAATATTAGTCAATGACTTTGATCTTGATATAAACAAGTTTTGCTACCCAGGTCTTGGATAATTTCACCCAGTTGGTTGAAAGAAAGCTATCGGAATGGCAGATTTGTCGGTAGGCCACGCCCCACATGAACTAAGATTGATATGTTATTCTACTCTCTAAGAAGTGTACTGATACAGGATCGCTTTTGTAACTGTAATCGGCTTTTTCTACTTATTTGGCTTGTCAGCAGAATAATAAGAGCAATAAACCGTATTTTCTTTACTTATTTTGGTTGAAATGAATGTAACCAAAGGCTTTTCTCTATAAGACACTTCAGCCAAATTTTCCTTATCAAACTAATCTCCATGTTTTCCAGATGAAATGCCTTTCATATTGAAAGACCAAGACTATGAAACGAAGTACACAAGTGAACTAAAAGAAGCAGTTCTTAGTGCAAGGGCGCACCCCAGCAGTTTGCTTAGTGGGTATGACATATGCCTGGCGGCTCATGTTCAACCTCCAGCCAGTATGTTGTCTGCAATTGTAGAATCTGCAGGAGGAAATGTAAGTCTTCAAGAAGCTCTTCTGCCTAGCCCCAGTCAGTTCCCAGATATTCTGTTTGACATAGTTAAAATAAAACTTCAGGTTGTAATTGGGGGAGTGGAGAAGGTGAAAGACAAGGACAAGAGCATATTTGTGGCGTGCGAGGAGGACACCGACGAAGCACTGTTAGCAGCCGAGAAAGGGATACGCTGTTTCAGCAGCGAGTGGTTCATGAACTGCATCATGAAACAGCAGCTTGATCTTGGAGCCTCTCAATTTGCAGTGAGCCTCTGATTCTATATGTGTATCCATCCCATGTTACAGATTATGTATGTATATACAAAATTAGTTTGCACTTTTGGTTTTGCTTGCAGAATTGACATCTGATCACTACTATAAAAAAATTACTACTCAGTTTTTTAGAGTTCCTCTTTCTTAATCATTCTTATTCCCTTTAAGCTTCTTCTAAACGAAAAGAGTCTCAAGTCTCATTCTCTTTCAGATACAATAGAACTCTAATTTTGATCTCTCCAAATAAAGTAGCTGCCCAGCCTGCCAAAGCTAACCATCTGTGCTTTTTGAGAGAGATATTATTCATGAGTGTTCCCGCAGATAGTTCCTACACTAATTCTGAATCTTCTTCATCACTGCACTAGGAAGTAGAAATATTCTTGCCCAGAGAGTAAGTCCCCATCAGAACAGAGTTTATTAGTTTGACAGGGGGAGTCCTTAAACTTGGATTAAGAAAATATAGTGATCGTTATACCTGGAGATTACATACGAGTATGATACAGCACAATACAAGGGCCTAAAAGCTAGCTGTTAAGGTTAGCTGTTATGGTGGGAGAACCCGGCTATATAAAGCCATCACTAAGTTCCCTATTTAAAGGGTCTGGGACAACGAAATGAGTAAAATTGGGATACCATGGTGTCCAGTGTTTCGCCTAGTAAAATTACCAATCAAGGCAATCATTCACTTTTTTCTGGGCTCAGAATAAAATCCGCACAATGCTACGTCGTTTCACTCCCCTGGCTATTCTATTCGCGTTCACCGGATTCATCTTCGCCGTCCGTTCACAAGAGCTCAGATCCAACGTCCATCAATCCCGGCGGGGAATCACGGCGGCGCGCCCCGAACCTATAGGTTCCATACAAGTGCCGCCGGGCTTTCCGCTCAAGATCGCGTTGTTTGCGGACCTGCATTTCGGAGAGAACTCATGGACCGCGTGGGGCCCGCAGCAGGATATAAAATCAGTTGGGGTGATGTCTACCGTTCTCGATCAAGAACACCCAGGTGGCTTGCGCATCAGTGTCTCATTTATTCTATTTTCTCTTTATTTATTTCATATCATTAGTATATCGACTAATCTTTAAAAACAAAAATGCAAGAGTACATTTTAAAAAAATTACTCGGGTTCATTTAATAAACATAAATTCCCAAATGGTCCCACTAATTATTTTGGTAGGAGTAAAAAAGTATAAGAACCCAAAATAAGAGTAAGTCTTTTAAGATCAAAACAAGATTATAATGACAGTGTGATTGTAAGAGTACGCGTTGGTAGTGTGATTAGAAAAATGATGACTATGTAATATGTTAGTGTGATCAGTCATGAGTCAACCATCGACAATCCGTGGCGGAACTCCGATGGCCGGCGACAACGGATGGCAGTATGACAATTACAATGTGATAATATGGTGAGTTTGACAGTGTAACAATTGTTGTGTGAACTCCTGTTCTAATCTGAAAAAACTTAGGACTCTTATTTTGGTATTTTCATATTTTTTTTACTCATATCTAGGGAGTTATCCCATTTAAAAATGGACTTTTTATACTCGTTCTAGATTACTTATGTCTTATCTGATTGAAATATTTTGGTATACCCCAAAATAACTTTAATGTAAAAATGTTTACCCCCGCGTTATTCATGTTATTCGTATACCGAATTTCTAACGTTGCTTCGCACCGTTATTGGGTTATTGTCCCTTCCAAGTTTTCCAACATTTTTACTCAAAATAAAGAGCCTAGAATTCTGTTTAATACTCCGTACTCAAAATTGTTTAAGTATAAACATGTCCTGAGTTTACAACCACCGGCTTGAGCTTTTGGTTGAGTGGATTCCTTGACATGGTATCAAAAATTTGTTTGATCAAAGATCAAGAGTTTGAACCTCACCGTCACCTAATTTTAAAAAATTGATTTTCACGTGCATGACTCGAGCAAAAAAAATTTGCACGTGAGATGACGTGTTAGAGTATAAAACCGCCTACAACCACAAGCTTGAATTTTCGGTTGAGTTGGTTCTTTGATAAAGATGTCTAGCAAACTCATTCACTAAAAGCCTCCCAGCCTTTAAAATCTAGATACACCATTTATGTCCTTAGAATTCCACCACTAAATATTTATTTGGGTTTTGAATCCCATCTGTGTTGATAAGGCATTGTCACTAGATTACATAGATACTTTTATAAAAATAAAATACAATGTGGACCAGAAGTTTGATAAGGAAGTTTGCAAAATATTGTGGAAATATGGAAGTAGATGAAGTATATAATCCCCGACAAATATCCTTGTATAGAAATGAGATCATATGAAGCGTTGCAACAAAATGAGAATCCTGAAAGTGTTTGAAAAGGTGTACACGAAAGAGTGATTGACAAAAACAAAGTGATTCAGTCCAAAGTGAAAATATATTCTATTTGATAAAATAAAATTTGAGCCCATAGTGCTCTTTGATACCTCTATTAAGATATGTTTTTGCAGACTTTGTGATCTATCTTGGGGATGTCATCACGGCAAACAATATACCCACCAAAAATGCTAGCTTGTACTGGGAGCAAGCAATCTCTCCTACAAGAGCCAGAAGAATTCCATGGGCTAGTGTTTTTGGTAACCATGATGATATGCCATTTGAGTGGCCATTGGAATGGTTTTCAACTTCTGGAGTCCCTCCCGTCCAATGCTCACAGAATATTTCATACACTGGTAAGTCCATCATCAATGATAAAGCTGCTGATGATCCGTCACAATCTTCTTCTGTTTTTTTTTTTCGTTTTTGACAATTTAATGGTTTAATGGTTTTTGATGCTCATTTGTTTAAAGGAATTTTAGATTTTGGGGGGGGGGGCGAATCAAAGCAACAAAAGCTGAATCTCAGAGGATCGAGACTGCAAGGCAAGGCCACTCTACCGCTTACAAGGAGGTGGTTGGCAATTGTTCTTGTTTGAGTTAAAATATACGGAATAACTAGAAACAATTGGGTTACATTTTCCAACAAAAATATTTTCCATGGGAAAAGTAATTGGAAAATGGCTTTCCCGTTTAAAGTCTTAAAGTCAACAACAACAACAACAACAACCCAGTTGAATCTCACTACAGTAGGGTCTGGGGAGGGTGTGTGTACGCAGACCTTGCCCCTACTCGGAAGTAGGGAGGCTGTTTCCAAGAGACCCCTGGCTCCACCTGCACAAAAAATATGGTAGGAAACACAGATAAAGCACCAAGTACAATGGAATGAAAGTCCTGCAAGCAATAGCAAATAATTCCAACCAAACAAAACGCACTACAAAAGCCACTGAAGCACCGCGCCCTATCCAATAACTCTAATCGTAGTTCTCCAAAGGTTCCTATCTAAAGCCATATCCTCAGTCAGGATGAGAAGTCCTAAATCCTGTCTAATCACCTCCTTCCAATTCTTCCTAGGTCTACCCCTTCCCCAACTACCCCCGACAACCGTAATCCTCTCGCATCTCCGTACAGGGGCGTCAGCATTCCTCCGTCTTACAGGACCAAACCATCTCAACCTCGCTTTCCGCAGTTTAGCTTCCACCAAACCATCTCAACCTCGCATTCCACCGTTTTAAAGTCATTTTCCTCAAAAGATCTAGTTGTCTTGGAAATTATTTTCCTTTCGGTTCTAAGCACAGGAAAATGTTTGCATGTACGAAATGAATGAAAATCGAGAAAACATTTTGATTGTTGGTTCCATTAAAGGGGAAAAGAGTTGAATGGTTCTGAAATAGAGTAGATATTGGCAACTGCACTTTTTCCTAGAATATGATCTTGGATGTTTTTGTTTCTTCCTCCTTTACTGGGCAGAGATTAGTTGTCCATGGTAAATATTTTCCTTGGAAAATAACTTTCCCGTTTAAAGAGGGAAGCCATTTTCCACTAAACTTCAAATAATTATAGAAAATATTTTCCTTTCGGGTTTTTAAGCACAGGAAAAACTTTCCATGACGTGCCAAATGCGTGAAAATCTGTAACATTTTCCATGATAAAGTAATATTTTTATCAAAACAAATGGAGGCTTAAAAGGAAAATTAAGCCTTTTAAACTCAGGTTGGCTTCTATTTTAGGATACAAAGATTGCAGCTTCAGGGGAACAACGCGCTTGGAGATGATGAAATATGAAGTGGATCACAACACATTATCACACTCTAAATGCGGTCCGGGGGTTTTATGGCCCAGTGTTTCCAACTATGTCCTTGGAATTTCATTGACAAGTGACCCCGACACATCTGTAGCATATATGTACTTCCTAGATTCTGGGGGTGGCTCATACCCTGAGGTTATCTCAAATGCACAAGTGGAATGGTTCAACCGCACGGTTCAAGAACTTAATCCTGATGCAAGGTATTAAAAACAAAGATTTTACCGCGGCATATTTTTTGCACAATTTGTGCATTGATTGATACGAATGTGAACATATATATGATGGATGACCTGTGAAAATTTCCTGTTGGCAGTTTATGTAGCATACCTCAGTGAATTGGGATTAAAGCTAGGTTATTGTTATTGTTGTTGTCATTTACATAGTTTCTGTAAATTGTTAACTCAATATTAATTATTGTAAATAAAGTGAAAAGCACTATGACAGGGTGCCTGAGTTAATGTTTTGGCATATACCTAGTCAAGACTATCATCATGCGGCTACAGATCTTTCTCAACGCAAGACATGCGTGGGTTCAATGTTTGCAGAGAAAGTTGCTGCTCAGGAAGCTGAAATGGGTATTATGGATCTCCTTCAGAGAAGATCATCTGTGATGGTAAGAACTCTTGAATAACCTGATGGTCTATTCTATACTTCTGTTTCGGAGATCCTCCTGACTTAACAATCGTCAGCTCCTCCCTTTCTGTTTGAAGGGAAAGAGCATTTTTTTTACTGTCAAAATGCTCTGCTCTTTTATGTGTCTGGAAAGTAAGCATTTTCGATTAGCAATATGCTTTCTAAAATGCTAGCTCCAAAGTACTCAAAGGAAGAGGATTTTGCATTAATAGAAGGTATAAATTGTCCAGCCAGTCAGCCACTTTATTTTGTTGTCTTTTTTTGCAGGCTTTGTTTGTTGGTCACAACCATGGACTGGACTGGTGCTGCCCCTACAAGAAGTTGTGGCTGTGCTACGCTCGCCATACTGGGTATGGCGGGTATGGGAGCTGGGCTAGAGGGGCCCGGATTCTGGAGATAACTCAGCACCCTTTCGCCCTAAAATCTTGGATTCGAATGGAAAATGGTACTGTACATAGTGAAGTCATCTTGAGCAGCTCTTGATTTGTCCCCTCTCTTCCTCTTCAGCTTCAGTCACAAGTGAAGGGGACACTGTACATTAGAAAATTGTATCAAACAATTCAAACCAGCAATGTTTCACTGTCTTTACAAATCTTCATACTTAAACTCTTTTAAGCAATTGTTTGAGTGGAACTGTAGGAGGAAGAAATGAAGAAGAGAATTATTAGAAGAGAAAAGCAATCTTTCTTTCGCATTGGAGAACAGAAACAAAAGAGTGTTATGCTGTGTTTGTTGTTTATGAGTGTTTATCCATAGACATCCTCAACTTTTAAATAAATGCATTTAAAAAACTTTGGTCACATTAATTGGGGGGGGGATAAAAGTTCCATCTCTGTGCACAGCAGTATGTAAAAAGGACATTCAAACATCCCAAAATTGAAAACACATCTTTGAACATGTCTCATTCGTTGGGCGATTTTAGTTGCAGCATTTCCTTCTTCAGCCTCTCAGCCATTTCTTCTTTCCCTTGTCTCAAGAATCCATCAATGAAAGTGTTATATATCTCCTTATTGGCTTCATACCCTTTCCCCACCATCTCCACCTGAACTCTGAGAGCTTCTTCCATCTCCCCTTCGCGACACAAAGCATTTATAAGCGTTTCGTATGTCTTCTCCATCGGAACAACCCCGTGCTTCTTTACCAAGCTTCTAACAAACTCAAGCGCCTCAAAGACTCTACCTTTACTGCAGAACACCCCAACCAGTGCATTCACTGTTTCGCCCTCGGGCTTGGCTCTGTTCCTACACAGATCCTGGTACAAGAGGAGGGCTGATTCGAGATTCTCCATCTTACAATGACCAATGATCAGGTGTTCAAGAGTGGTGCACGTGATTTCCACACCGCTCATCACCATCTCTCTAAAAATTTCTTTGGCCCTCTCAATCTCGCCGGCCCCACACAACCCTCCGATGACAGTGTTGTAAGACACTGGGTCCCGCTCCACGCCCCTTTCGCCGGTCTCCTCCCATATTCTCATCGCACCCTCCACCCTCCCGTCATCGATCAATGCTGACATCAGCACGCTGTAACTGTACGCATTCGGATCACAATTCATTGCTACCATTTCCCTCCAAACTTCCTCCACCTTATCCACCAGACCCTCCCTGTGGAACCCAACCATCAACACATTGTATGTATGTGCATTGGGAGCGACACGTTTAACGCCCTTGACATTTTCGTCCCTGCAAATAAAGATCTCCCTGTACATATCATACCCAGCAAAGCACCCGCGGGTTTTGGAAACAAGCTTGATAAGAGAATTGCAGGTGGAGACATCTGGGTAAAGATTCTTGGACTTCAAGATCCTCAGGAGCTCAATAGACTGATCCGTTCTTTTCGAATCCAAGCAAGCGTCAATCAGAAGATCGAACACAAACGGAGCAGAATCACACTGTCTGTAACTTCTCACCAGAGCTTCAAAAATGGGAGGAGGGTCCGAGGAATGTTGGCCGGGGAACTTGCAAATTGCAGATTTTATTAGGGCAGAAGCTTGGGGCTTGAGGCGGGAGCGAGAGAGGACGTGAATAATGGTGGCGTAAGAAGAAATGGAATGAGAACAGAGGGAGTGGCGGATGGTGAAGAGGAAGAAGGTGTGGGCGAGACGGGGTTTGTTGCGGACTTGAAGTGTGATCTCTGAGGCCTGAGAAGGGGTGAAGCCAGTGTAGGGTTTGGGAAGAGAGCGGAGGTGACTCCACCGGGACTTTGATCGGTGGTGCTTGAGGATTGAGACGGCCAACGAGACGAGGTTCTGGTCCGGCGGCGAGGTAGCAGAAGAGAATGGGATAAACGATTGCCGGATTGGGTGGGGCGCTGGGAAGAGGAGAGTGCGAATTGAAAACAGAGACATCCAATCATCTACCTTCTTCAAGCTCTGTAAGATCTTACTGGTTCAGGAAATTTATCGAACACCTGATGTTCGTGGAGTAGGTATTTGGACTCTAGTTATAAGAAGCTAATAGGTTCCAAAAAATGTAAGAACGTTTATTTCTGCATAACACAATACACACACAATACACATTTTCATAAAATAAACATATTGTCATACTGTTTATTATAAAATTATCTATTTTTTAAATTTACGAGTAACATAGTGTTAATTTATGAAATACGGCACTATCACCACCACCAACTCTATCCTGAAGCAGACACCCGCCGGTGCCGTGCCCGGTGTAGTGTTGCGACAATCCAACACATAGGGTTCCGATTGCCGATCGTCTCCTCTTCCCTCGTGAGCGCTCAGACGCACGGTGGAACCTATGGTTCCGATTAAAACGATTGTTGGTCGCCTCCTCTTCATCGGCAATTGACGCAATGACGTGCGGTCCTTCTCGATCGCCTTACCCATTTCAACATCAGCTGTACCCAAAAATAGGTATAGGCGGGTGTACAATATTGCAATTTCAGTGACTTGAACCATAAATAAGTGTGCATTTATAACATAAAGAGACAGATATTTTCTTAATTAAACTCTACTTTTTTTCTTTTTATTTGAATGGACATAATTGCATTGTACTTTTTTAGCACACTCAAATCATTGTATCTCACTATCACATTCTTAGCTCAACAACTTTACCCCTGTATTTGGATGATGAGAAAATAGTGAGAGAGAAAGTTGGGTGAGAAAATACAGAAATTAATATAAATTCTCTTTTTTAGATATAAGAAAAAATGAATGGAGGAAAGAAAATGAAGGACGAGACCACATGAAAACTTTTCTCACCATAGATGATAAGATAATAGATGGAGACCTGCCTCTTTTATCTTTTTAATTCTTACCATTTCGCTCTTTCTTCTTATTTTCTTATTATTTTCTAATAAGAAATTATCATACGTAGATTCTAAGCCACTCAATATTACGCATTTGGCACTTCTTAATCATTTATACGAATTTAGCTATTTGTATTACACATATAACACTCCTTAATCTTTTATACGAATTTAGCATACCCTCTACCTTTTATTATATTCTACTATTTTTAATTACGTTTATTTATTTGATTAAACTTAATATATAACACTCTAACTCACTCAACATTTCACTTCCAAGCATACCCTCGATCACCCTATGTAGCACCCTAAGTCACTCAATATTACGCATATAGCACTTCTTAATCTTTTATACGAATTTAGCTATTTATAGTGTCAATATCTTCCAAGCATACCCTCTACCTTTTATTATATTTTACTATTTTTAATTACTTTTAATTATTTGATTAAACTTAGGTTATTCACGTAGCCACTCATACATGCGGCTCCTCCTCATTCGTGAATCTCATACGTACGAGAACATCATCCTACGACGTTTACCATAACTCTGCGAGATCCTCCTCTTACCCAGTTTACCAATGTATAATGCCTAAATAAGTTCGTACGTATTAAATTAAATTACATATTTAATGCCCATGTTTGGCCAGTGTATTTTGGTGTAATAAATTATTCATGATATCAACCATACATTTTTGTGCAATGTAGAATTCATACGTGAAAATAGTCATACACATTTTTGGCAGTGTGAAATTCATACGTGAAAATAGTCATACACATTTGGGCAGTGTGGAATTTATATATGGAAACAGTCATACACTTTTTGACAGTGTAGAATTTATACATGAAAACACTGTCACATAAATCAATTGACATTACACTCGAACATGGAATTGACACAATAACTTACACACTGCCGTAAGATTTAACAACATATATCCATTCTACATTGCAACACTAAATGCTCACATATAAAAAGCGCACTACCCACTAGACAGTTACAAGTGAACAACCACACTGCCCAAAATAATCATATTTTTTGCAATGTGTAATGAATAGTTGCTGTTTAATTAAAGGACAAAATCGGAATCACAGGTACAAAACATATATCACTACAATTTAGAGTATTTTAAGATTCTAAAAGTGCTATTTTGGTTTTTTCCCTTTTCTAATCATCTAAACACTAACTATTTTCTTTCCATTTTTCTTCATTTTCTCTTTTCATCATTTTCTTTTCTATCATTTGCGTCTAGTCCTAACGAAAATGACTTAGTATATACGGAGCATACTACAAAATGATGGAGAGAGTATATTTTTTTAAAAAATAATTTATAATTCATTCTTTTCAATCTAACGATAGTCAAAATATGAATGCTTTTTTCAAACGTCTGTATGAGGAAACACTTAGGGCCTGTTTGGTGAGCCAAACCGCTATGCGTTTGGATTTCCCTGATATGAAGTTCCTAAAATAAACGTTTGGTGAGTAAAAAAAGATATTGATTTTCAAATCTGGAGATATGAAAATTCTCCCAATATCCCGAGTTTTGATATCTCTTCTCATTCTCTGTTAAATATATTTACCATATTTATTTATGTTAAGTATATTTAATGTATTTATTATTATATCATTGTATTATTGGTAGTTACCTTTTGTATAGGTTTCCTTACTTATACTCCTACCATGATTAGGAGTCCCATCTTGTATATAAATATGGTTGTACTCCTACAGATTCAATCAATTGAAAATATTCATTCTTCATGGTATCGGAGCCAGATCCAAAACCCTAATTCTTTTCTTCTCTCGGCTCACACCTCTCTCGGCGCTGCTCTCTCTCTCTCTCGGCCTACTGCCGCAGCAGCTCCACCACTCCCCCGTCGTCTTCCCCCCTTCTCCCTCATGGAAAACTCCGACAAAATGACGGACAAATCTCCTTCTTCCTCCACTACCTCCTCAAATCCTCCTCACTTGGCGTTCACGGCTATATCCAACGTCAAGCTTCACGTCCCCATACAGTTGAGTTTTTCTCAACCAAATTACAAAAAATGGTGCCGCCTCTTCTTGCTCCTTGTTCGACGGTTCAATCTCCACGGGTTTCTCTCCGGCTCTAAGATTCCCTCTTCTGCCGATGACGACGAATGGTTTCAACTCGATGCTTTGCTTCAAGGCTGGATTCTCTCTACAGTGACCGATGAAGTCTCCGACTTGGTCATCTCATCCACCTCCACGGCCTCCGAACTTTGGCGGGTGATTCATGATCTCTTCCACGACAACAAACCGGCTCGGGCTATGCAATTGGAACACCAATTCCGCACTACGGTCAAAGGAACTATGCCCATGGCCACCTATTGTCAAACTCTCCGGAACATCGCCGATTGGCTTGATGACGTCGACACCCCGGTCTCCGAATCACAGCTGGTGCTCCAACTCTTACGAGGCCTACCGGACAATTTCCAAGCCCAAACATCTTGGATGCAGTTTCAACAGCCCCAACCCAACTTTCTGCAAGTCCGGTCGGCGTTATTACTCCTTGAACGTCAACGCTCCCACTCGCTTGAGACCGGGACAACCCTCGCCGCCGGCCGAACTGGCGGCCAGCTGGGTCCGAATCAGCAGCATGGCCGTCCCAGCGGCACGGCAGACCTGGCGGGTAACCGTGGCTACCCTGGCCGTGGTGGTGGCGGTCGCGGTGGTCACGCGCGAGGACGTGGAAGAGGCCGAAACTCTGGCGGGCAGCGACACTCGGACGGCTACGGATCCTGGAACTCACCAAACCAAAACCCTAACCCTGCCCCGGGTCTTCTCGGCCCACGCCCCACCCCCTACACCTACCCTAATGCCTTTGCCCATTATTCCTACTCCAACCCACTCCAACCCCACCCCACACTCCCCACCCCAGCCCCGTATCATCCATACCCGACAGGCACCCCAGCCCCGG